CTCTACACCTTGTTATCTCATATACTTAGTGTTTTTTTGAAGTTTGGTTACCTGTTGTAATAAATGCTGTAGCTGATTTGTGCAAAGCAAGGTCCCATTAGCATCAGTAAGATACATATCGAATGGATCTGTTTAATATGGTGTTGATAAAGAGATTCATTTTGACCAGGACACCAGTGATAATCTCCTCCAGCTTCTTCGCAGCACTACTGTGGGATTGTTTATGTTCATCAGATTTAGCAGATGGAATCTTGATTGAACAATTTATTTGAGATGTTGGACAGTGCACCACTCCCTCAGTATTGCACTGAAGTGACTGCCCTGATGACACACTCAGGCCCTCAGCAGGAGCTTGAATCCATCACCTTCTTAAGCGAGAACAATTTGGGGAACCTGTTGGTGAATTCAGCGGGGCCCTTCAGCAGGGGCAGCACAGTGGCTCAGTGGTTAGAGCTGCTGTCTCAGCACCAGGGACCCAGGTTCAATCCTACCCTTGGGCACCTGTCTGTGTGGAGTTTGTACATTCTCCCTGTTCCTCCCACAATCCAAAAATATTTAGGTTATGTTGATTGACTGTCCTGTAGTGTGCAGGCTGGGTGGATCAGCCATGGGGATAGGGTAGGGAGGTGGATCTGGGTGGAATGCTCTTTGGATTTGCAATGTGGGCTCAATGGCTTCTTGGGATTCTATGGATAGACAAGATAAAATTAGTTTATTATGAAACTTAGTCACCTCTTTTTAGCCATGAACAATCTAATCTCCTTTCTCCAGAAAAGAGAAGGCTGAGGGGAGACTCAGTTGAGGTCTTTAATGGGCAGACGTAGGGAAGATGTTTCTGCTTGTCAGCAAATCAAAAATAGGAAGCCATAAATATAGTATCACTCCGAATAAATCCAATAAGGAATTGAGAAGAGACAATACTGAGAATGTAGAATGCGCTAACATGTTAATGGCTGAGGCAAATAGAAAAAGCATATTTCAGGGAAACTTCAGTGAGAGTAAAGACTGGAAGGATATGTTAATGAGATGGGCTGAAGCAAAAGGAGGGTGGAGGCCCATGTGGAACATTGATCACATAGACCAGGAGCGGGCGGGACAGAGTGGATAGGGAGTAGCTGTTCCCATTCGAAAAGAAATGAAGAACAAAATGGTATGGATTTAAAGTGATTTTCAAGTGTGAAGTGAGAAAAATCTTTTTCACACAGCAAGTAGTTAGGGTATGGAATGGGCTGGCTGGAAATGTGGTATAAGCAGGTTCAACTGAAGCATACAAGAGGGGTGTTGGATAGTTATTTGGATAGATGGTGTGTAAGGCTCTGGGGAGAAAGCAGCAGATTAGCTCTAGTTAATGACGCTTATTTGAAGAGTCAGTGCAAACAATGGGCAGAATGGCCTCCTCTTTCCCCACAACCTTCTGTGATAAACACTGGCACAGAACACTGGGGATGAATAGTGTCTTTCTATGTTCTATATGACATTGTGATAGCTTTAGCAGTACAGATGTGATGGGCTGAAAGGCCTCTTTGTTCTGTATGATTCTACAATTCTATGATTGTTCTTGTTCATGAGATATCCCTTATAACTGGGAGATGGGAAAAGCGGCTAATAGCCCTTTGGAATAGATGGTCATTTGATATGGAGCAGTAAATTGTGAGGGTGATTTCACCAGGTCAGAGGGTGAGAGCTGATCATATCAGACAGCTTCACAGTAATGAGCTGCTGTATCCCATATTGACTTATCTATTCACTCTTGTTGTATTCCAGGTCACTCGATAGTCCTTTGGGAATACGGGAGGCAGTGTTTTATTTTTTAAAAGCTGAAAAGTGTTCCATCTTTCAACTGATTCTCCACAGATGGGACCGGTTAACCTGACTTATAGTTTGTTCCCAAGCAGCTACTTATATCCGAATGGGAATCTCCTTGGCTCCCAAAGGAACGTCAGAAATGACAAGGAAACCCAAGGCACTACATGAGAGAGAAGGATGCGTCAAAGGGCCTGGTGATGGGTAAACACTGGCTGCAATGGACTCCTCTTGGTCATACCCTACTGGGGTCTATGGACACTGGGTTCATGGAAAGTTCAGCTTCCTTCCAGCGCAATCAACCTGACTCGAGAGAGAGAGAGACCTCTCTCCTCCAGCTTTGTCAAAAAGGCACAGTGCTCCCCTCTCCCATCGCCAAACCCTATTTCTTCAAAGCATCTCAGTTCACACCGGTCTTCATGTTAAGTCATTTTCAAAAGGAAAGATAATGAGTCGAGCTGAATCTCTCCAATGAAAACTTTGGTTTTTGTTTGCCTCTTTCCATCCAATTCCAGACAGCGAACACAGTCTTCTGGTTTCAAACTGCTTGAAGTGGGAGTCTCCCTGGAACTGCCATTAACCACCATGGTAGAGGGGGTAACTGAACAGCAATATTTCCCCAAGGCACAGACTGTATGGGACGTGGCAGTAAATGCTGAAACTTCTAGTCTTGTTGGAGTTCAGCAGATCACCAACCAACGCCATTGCACAGGAAGGTGACTTAACAATTCCCCATTGGCTACACCTGACTGAGTCCAATTCACTGCTCCCTCTGAAGGCTTACTGAGCAGTGTGTAGAGCTGGTCTTACTGCTGTATGCTTCCTGGAATCCCTCATCTTTTGGGATCAGAAGCCCTGGGCTCCTTGCTTCAATTGGTCCATCATCTACTGACACTACAGAAATGCTCATGCGTATTTTTATTAGGGGCCTCCCTGATTGGCTCCTTGTGACTCTGTAGCCAAGATTGAGTTACGAAAATTAATCAGATCTTGTGACCTTCTGTAATCCCCTCAGTTAGATTGTATCATATCTGTACAAATTCAGAGTCAATACATGTTTGTGTCTGATAAAGATAATGCCTTGTGTTTTCACTTTCTTGCTGTTGGTTTCTAACTGCGGTTACTCTCTGATCAGACTTTACTGAGCAAAGATCTGTGGCAGCTATTTCTGTCATGGTTACAGCACTGCATTGGTTCTCATCAAAGTCATGATTGACATCCCTTCCTGTGGATCTAACTCTGAGCCACTCCTCCATTATTGGTCCAGGTGGCACACAGAAACAGAACCTGCTGGAGAAACTCAGTAGGTCCAGCAGTGTCTGTGGAGAGAGAAAGCAGAATTTACATTTCAAGTCCAGTGACCCAGTGAACTGAGAGTTCTGAAATTGGGCCACTGGACCCGAAACGTTAACCCAGTCTCTGTCTCTCTCTGTCTCCACAGATGCTGCCAGATCTGCTGCGTTACCCCAGCACTTTTAGTTTTTGTGTGTTTCAGATTTCCTACATCTGCATCTTTGTTTTATTACAGGCCTGAGCGGGTCTGCTCATACCATGAGACATTTTAAAGGTGCTGTACAAATGCACATTATTGTTTTTACACTTTAGGAATCAGGTAAAATTATGAATGTGCCTCCTGTGGTTTTGAAATTAATGGACAGAAAGTATTTGTGCAGTTGGGGACATTTTGAGATTGTCATTGCTCATCAGCTCCCACATCCATAGAATCCATACAGTGTAGAAGCAGGCCAGTCAGTCTGCACTACCCCTCCAAGGGACATCTCACCCCACCCCTGTAACACTACAGTTCCCATGGCTAACGCACCTTGTCTGTACACTATGGGCAATTTAGCATGGCCAATCCAACAAACCTTTGGACTGTGGGAGAAAACCAGAGCACCTGGTGGAAACCCATGCAGACATGGGGAGAATGTGCAAACTCCACACAGACAGTTACCTGAGGGTGGAATTGAACCTGGGTCCTGGTGCTGTGAGGCAGCAGTGTTAACCACTGAGCCACTGAGCCACCCCAGGAGGGAATTATGAAGAAAACAGTATCCCCATATTTTGTTTAGGTATTCTTGACAAACCTTTAACACTCAATAATCTCAGGCACAACCATTTCTTAATTTTATGAGTAACTTTAATGTTTTTAAGACCATAAGACCATAATACATAGGATCATAAATTAGGCCATTCAGCCCATTGAGTCTGCTCCACCATTCAATCATGGGTGATAATTTCCTCAACCCCATTCTCCTGCTTTCTCCCCGTAACCCTTGATCCCCTTGATAATTAAGAACCTATTTATCTCAGTCTTAAATGTACTCAATGACCTGGCCTCCACAGCCTTAGATCTTTGCAACACAACAAGGTCGCAAAACATTTGTGACTTGTCCTAAAGTCAAGCAGTAGGAGGTACATCAAATCAAAACATCTCAGTTGGGGCAGTGATAAATTGTAACGTTCAGCGTAATACAATATTCAGTGCTGTGTCCCTGCATGGACAATACACGCTAAAATGGAATGAATATTAAATTGCAAATATTGGATTTAAATTCACTGGATTAAGAGCTTTTGCAGTGCTTTCCTATTAGTTAGACTTTCTCATTATCCATCGCAGGTAGACCTGTAGCATATTGTAGCGATGACCAAGACGTGGCTGAAAGATGGTTGGCAGCTCAACATTTCTGGTTATAGGGTATTCAGATGTGATAGAGATGGGGATATGAAAGGAAAGTGGGGGAAAGTGGTTTGTAATAATGATCGAGAAATCAATTATAAGACAAAACCAAAGATCTGCCAATGCTGGAAATCAGAAACAAAAGCAGAAATTGCTGGAAAAGCTCAGCAGGTCTGGCAGTATCTGTGGAGAGAGAACAGAGTTAACATTTTGGGTCTGGTGACTCTTCCTCAGAACTGATTGTATCTGGTAAAAAGTTGGTATATGTATGGGGTGGCCAGGCGTGGAGGGTGGGGGTTGGGGGTTGGGACTGGGGGGTGTGGGGGTGTGGGTGGGCAGAAGAGGGGTGTAAACAATAGGTGGTGAAGGAGTCCAGAGAGACAGAAAAGCAGAAAGATTGAGAGAAGGGGCAGCATGGTGGTTCAGTGGTTAGCACTGCTGCCTCACAGCACCAGGGACCTAGGTTCGATTCCCCCCCTCAGATGACTGTCTGTGTGGAGTTTGCACATTCTCTCTATGTCTGTGTGGGATTCCTCTGGGTGCTCCACTTTCCTCCCACAGTCCAAAAATGTGCAGGTTAGGGTGGATTGGCCATGCTAAATCACCCATAGCGTTCAGGGATGTGTAGATTAGGTGGGTTATAGGGGAATGGGTCTGGGTGGGATGGTCCAAGGGTTGGTGTGGATTTGTTGGAGCAAAGGCCCTGTTTCCACACTGTAAGGATTCGATGAAAAAAAAAAATCTATGAACTGTGGATGCCGGAAATCAGAAACAAGAACTGTCCTGAGGAAGGATCACTGGACCCGAAATGTTAAGTCTGCCTTCTCTCCACAGATGTTGCCAGACCTGCTGAGTTTTTCCAGCAATTCCTGTTTTTGGGAGAGAACAACAGGTGGGTAGGTACAGGTCAGTCTGGAAGAATTAATAACTATTAATGGGCTCGATTCTAATAGTGATGAGTATGATATCTTGGAAGGATCATCAAATGAGGCCTTATGGGTAGAAGTAAAAAAGCACAAAAAGGCCAAACACACTTTTGGGTGTGTTCTATAGGTCCCCAGACAGTCAGAGAGAGATGGAAGATCAAATATGTGATCAAATTTCAGAAACATGTAAAAATACATCTGATGAAGGGTCTAGGCCCGAAACGTCAGCCTCTCTGCTCCTATGATGCTGCTTGGCCTGCTGTGTTCATCCAGCCCTGCACCTTGTTGTCTCGGATTCTCCAGCATCTGCAGTTCCTACTATCTCTGATTCAAATATTAACTGGGATCGTTTTAGTATTCAAGGTACAGAGAGGTCAAAATTCGTAAATTATATGCAGGAGCACTTTTTTAAACAGTACATAGAAACCCCAAAAAGGGAGAGGGCAGTTTACGCCTCATGAGCCTGGATAGGTGGGAAGTGTATCAGTCAGGGAGAATTTTGGAAATAGTGACCATAACTCAATTGGATTTAGGATATTTATGCAAAGGGATAAGGATGGGCCAGGATTAAAATTTCTAAACTGAGGGAAGGCTAATTTTACTCAGATAAGGCATGAGCTGGCCCAAATATACTGGGAGTAGCTACACGCAGATAAAACATCTGGGAGGCATTCAAGGAGGAAATAGGGAGAGTACAGGGCAAATATGTTTCTGTATAGACAAAGGATAGGACCAAAACTGGAGGACCCTGGATGTCAAAGGATTTAAAGATTAGGTTTAGAAATAAAAGAGAAGTTTATGGCAGATAGACAGAGAGTGCTGATGGAAGGTTACTTTTTGGACTGGAGGCCTGTGACCAGTGATGTTCCACAGCGATCAGTTCCGGGCCCCCTTTTGTTTGTCATTTATATAAATGATTTGGATGAGAATATAGAAGGCGTGGTTTGTAAGTTTGCGGATGACACCAAAATTGGTGGCATAATAGACAGTGAAGAAGGTTTTCTAAGATTACACAGGGATCTTGATAAAATGGATCAATGGGCTGAAAAATGGCAGGTTAAATGTGAGGTATTGCATCTTGGTAAAACAAACAATGGTAGGGCTTATACAATTAATGGTAAGGCCTTGGGTAGTGTTGTAGAATAGAGGGACCTAGGGGTGCAGATACATAATTCTTTGAAGTTTGCGTCACATTTGGACAGGATGGTTAAAAAGGCACTTGGCATGCTTGCCTTCATTGCTCAGTCCTTTGAATATAGGAGTCGGGATGTTATGTTGAGGTCGTACAGGACATTGGTAAGGTCTCTTCTGGAATACTGCATGCAATTCTGGTTGTCCAGTAATAGGAAGGATATTATCAAGCTGGAGAGGGTTCAGAAGAGATTTATCAGGAGGTTGCTGGGTATAGAAAGTTTGGTTATAAAAATAGGCTGGATAGGCTAGGACTTCTTTCACTGCAGCATAAGAGGTTGAGAGGTGACCTGATAGAAGTTTATAAAATAATGAGGGGTATGGATAGAGTTAATGGTAGTTGTCTTTTCCCCAGGATGGGGATTTCAAGATCAGGAGACACATTTTTAAAGTGAGAGGAGAGAGATTTAAAAAAGACTTGAGGCAAATTTATTACACAGGGGTGGTTTGCGCGAGGAATGAACTTCCTGAGGAAGTGGTGGATGTGGGTACAATTACAATGTTTAAAAGACATTTGGAATGTTATATGAATAGTAAAGGTTTGGAGGGATATGGGCCAGGAGCAGGCAGGTGGGACTAGTTTAGTTTGGGATTATGTTTGGCATTGACTGGTTGGACCGAAGGGTCTGTTTCCATGCTGTATGACTGTGACTCTATATCAAAGGCTCAATACAGCAGAGTCCCCAGAGGAATATAAAAAAGTACAGGAGGGTTCTTAAAGAGAAAAATAGGAAAGCATAGAGAGTTAATGAGAAAGTGTTGGCAGGTAGAATAAATCAAAACTAAAGGGATCTTTTTAAATTCATAAGGAACAAGAGAATAGTGAGGGAAAGAGTAGGACCCATGAGGATGTAATTTGTGTGAAGACATGGAAGATGTGGACACAGTCCTCAATAAGTATTTTGCACCAGTTTCCACAATGGAAAAGGACGCTGCAGGTGTATTGACGTATTGAATTATTTATTGTCACGTATATTCAATGTAAAAATACAGTGAAAAGTGTGTACCTTCACCGGTACACATTCACATTAACTGAGAATAAAAAAAAGATAACTTAAGAGAATCCAACTTTCCCTACCACTGCCGCCTTCCCACTCTGGGTTTTCCAGCTCAGGCCATGCCGCTGCCACCATACCCCCATCTTCCTCTGGCATGGTGGCTCAGTGGTTAGCACTGCTGCCTCACTGTGCCAGGGACCTGGGTTCAATTCCAGCCTTGGGCAACTGTCTGTGTGGAGTTTGCAC